GCCGCCGTTTTCTTCGAATGAAAGAAGAAAATCAATACTTCCCGCATATGACGATTTATTATTTGGCACAAAATCAGACATTTTCACACAACCAAAAGAATATAACGTCAAAACAAAATCACTAATGTGTCGAAGCGGTTTGTTTACGTCATATGTCTAAGCTTGGTTCATGACGTTTAGATTATGTCAGAATCGACCAGCACTTACTGCTGGAACCATCTATTGACAAACAGCGGGAACTTAGTTGCGCACCTAATATGTTTATATTCTCGTGCGCATTATATATATTTAATTTGCTAATTGTATCACTATTAATTTATATACATAGATATTAAGGCCCTTATTCTGTAACTTTTAACGATGGTAATGATATTGTTACATTGTCGTTGCGCGAGTTTTATATATGGTAAAAAAAGCTGCTTAACAACAATATAACGACATCTACACTGTTATTAAGAGTTACAGAAGAAGGTCCTTAATCTTTTTTTAGCTGTATGTTCTATGTATGTACATAAATGTGTGGCTATGATATTATGTGTAACAAGATATTATCTCTTATTATTTCTGTTATCTTCTTTTATATTAATTTTATACATATTCCATGACCTTATACTTTTTTATGAAATTATGATATATGTATATATACACAAAATTATTTAAAATAATTTAATTGTTTCTATATTTTGACTATCTTTATATATTTATATGTACAATAAAAATTTAAAAAAGAAAGAATTTAGACCCTTAACTATATTGTATACACTAGCTTTTGCTTCTTTTTAACTAATTCTACTGTTTGTGATGCGTGTTGCCAGGAATTTGTGAACAGATTGTATCAGTTTGCATTTCACTTAGGGCAGCAGTGGGCAGTCCACACCAATACACCGCAGCACCTCAAAAAGAAGGTAAGAAGTCATATTAGTAGAATTAAAATGTTATACTTTGCATTGTAAAATTTATAAATATTGTTACTGTTTTTATATCATCATGCATATTATTTATTTTATGTTTATGTATTCAATGAAAATTTTGTCTGCTTTATTGTTTCTGTTAATGTTATTGCTATGCTCCTGTTCAAGCTGCGGCATTTAGTTAAGTTAGCGGCAATAGTATTGTCATAATATCTTAGACTTAAATATTGTTTTTAAAATTGTTTTTAAAATTGCTATTGTACTTTAAAAATCTTAGAATTAAATCTGTATAGCTAAAGGAATTGTGCGTATTTTCTTTTTTTTTACAGAGAAGAAGAAAAAAATTACGCTTCCATAGACCGAAAATACACTGTAAAGCAAGATTTAGTCAACTCCACAGTCAGTCAAGCCAATCACAATCGGACGACGACTCCAGCCAATCAGTGGGCGGAGTCGGATAGCAATCCAAATACTTCCAATCAGTCGACTTCCAGCCCCAGTTCTTTACACGAAAAAAGTTACAACAGTGGTACCACTATCCAAGAGCGAGATATAGAATTGGAGGCTGCGTCTCATCTTTTAACGAAGCAAGAAAAATCCTTATGTATTCAACTTGATCTAAAGCCGACTCAGTATTTGACGCAAAAGACATTGTTATTACAAGTAAGTGATGAATCGTCGATTATAATTTTTTGTTATTGTAATTATATTTGCTAATATATATTTTTAATGTCATAGGAATATTTAACCGGTAATAGGAGATTGAGTATTGTACCTCAATCAGAACCAGAAAGCAAAATTCTTCATTATTTAGTAACTAACGGTTGGATTACAGCCAATTGATCAAACGTGTAAAAATTTACGATTTTTTACCACTCTAAGTCATTTCTAATCTTATAAGCTAAGTCTTAGATATAATTAAAATTTTTAAGTCTGATTCAGAGTTAAATGTAAAGCAGATAGATAAAGACAAGAAACGGAAGAACAGAACGCATATGTGTATAGTAGTTACGTTGTTACTGATCCTTTTACATAGGGATATTGCTATAATATAACGTGATCTATAGTTCAACGTAGGATCAGATAGATTCACAATCAGGCGCAATTTACGTGTTTGACGTCTGATAAATCTAGCAATGGCTTGCGTTCAACACAGAAAACTGATCAGTCAACGCTCAATAATTCTTTAATATGATTGATTCCTACCCTTAGATCCAGCGAAGAACTAAAGCCGAATCAATCACATTAAAGAATCGTTGAGTGTTCACTGATCAATTTTCTCTCTTGAACGTGGCTGGAGAGTTCAGGGCCGATTCTATAAAATCTTAGCAAGTGTTCAATTGCTTCTTTATCATTTTTTTTTAGACTGATTTTTATTATAGCATGACTATAAATATCGAGAATAATAAACAATTTAATTAATTGCAACAAACATTGACAAATGTTTGATGATAACAAAATGAGAATCGACCCTTAAAATATTTTACTTATTTCCAATTGAATTTAAACGAATCTCTTAACACTGCCTACGTAGAGCCATTGAACGTATTGCTCAATTAATTCTTCCATTGTGTTATGTTCATATGTAGACATGCCTGTTGAGCACTTTTCTTTCTGTTTTAAATGTTATCATATTCGACAATAAGGAAATATCAAGATTATTCACAATGACTACGTTCAGCAGAAATTCTTCAATATGATTGGTTCTTTTGATTCTTTATGGATCTAAATGTATAATTCAACTATATTGAAGAATTTTACAACAGAATACGAGCGTGGTGTAGCTGATAGCGTACTGGTCTGTTATACTAGAAATTCTGGTTCGATCCCCGGCAGAATCGAAAATTTTCGTACGCTCGTACCTCCTCTCGGAAGGCAAATCACCGAGTAGTATACTCTTGCCCAAGAAACCTCCCTATCAAAAATTAACGTTCGGAATCGACGTTTAAACTGTAGATCTCTATATACCTTGTGTACGATCAGTGTGCATGCAAAGGTATATGAGAGGGAGGCGCCTATGCGCTGATAACAGCGTATGGCACTTGAATAAGAAGACAACAGTTGCACAGCTACTTTCTCTGCTGAACGTAGCCATTGTTTTCAAATTATAAAATTGTCGGGTCAAAATTGTTAATATCAAAATGTTGATATTGAAGAATTAAAGATATGTCTTTTTAGACCAATATAATTTATTCTATAAAAGTATTGAAATTAGTTACTATGATTATTATTGTTGTTCATTAGGTAGTTGTATTGCTATTAAAATCGATGTGTATATACCTATATGAAGGCTAATAACATATAGGAGAAATTTTTTATTTTACCAGAAATTTAAAGTGATAGATCTCGATAAATCTATTTAATTACACAACAATCCTTGTAATTAAAATATTACACATACATTATGCGTACTATGTAAATCATGTGCAAACTATAATGACATAATTATGTATGTGATGCTATATAATCCATTTAATAATTGAAAGATTTTTTCATATTTGAGCTAAAAAATTCCTTATTGACGAAAAATGGTGCAAATTCATATATTCAACTAAAATAAAATGTATAGTATTGAATAGTATAGTATTTGTATATACGACAAGGGAATACCTTCTTAATGCTAATATACTTTAAAGCACAAAGAATTACAATTTTGCGACATATAAAGTGTCGTCTTTATTATGACAAAATTTTAAACCAGATTTTCGGGAACGAAAAAGACGATTTAAAAGATACCTGTAGGAGCATAATTACACAGGCCCACAGAAAAAAAAGTATCATGTGCTGGGCTGGAGACCCAGCTATTCTTATTTTGAGTCGCTGAATACGAATCTGGCATAAAAATAGGACCATCCAAGGTAAATTTTCAATCTAGAGCGAAAAAATGGGTTAAAAATGGATAAAAAAATAGAGCAAAAACCTCGAAATCTCTACTTTTATTGATATATTTTAAGACCATTGGCAAAAAACTTGATTAAATCTAGACCACGTTTCCCGAGTTGAGAAATACTTATCAGCCGTCAAGAAATACCGAATGCTCTGGAATATTAATATGCTACTACAAAAATCAACCCTTGATATCTCAATTGACGAACAAGGTAGCAACAAACGCCGTATCTACGTCCTCTATCCCTCTTGCATAACTTCTAGCGGTGAACTCTGAGTGCCTCACATTACAGACACAGGTTAAATCCAATAATTCCCGAGGAGTTACCAGACAGACAAACTTTCAAGCAACCATTAGACACAATAACAGTCTAATTTGCGGAAATTTTCTATCATGTTAGCCACGATGTTTGTAGTTTTCGCTTATTACCTAAAAATTGTCTACAACTTCTTTGAAGCTAAGTCATGCTGCCTCCTCGATGTCAGTCATTGTAGTAGTATGTCCGATGAATACACCTAATCGAATAAATGAATGAAAATACTCATTCGAATACATAATTCTTTTTTATTCGTCAAGAAACGAATGAATACTTTTTCATTCCATTTAAACGAATATTTTTTTAATATGATTACGATTCGTATTCAGCGACTCAAAATACATAAGAATAGCTGGATCTCCACCCCAGCACATGGTACTTTTTTTTTCTGTAGACCTGTGTTATTTTCCATTTTTACTTTAAAAGTAAAAATTGATGAAAATGATCTGTTAATTGCCAGTAGGCGTGTGTTAAATTTTGTGATATTACGAAAGCTGCCTCAATAAGAAACATTCATTGAAACGTTTCTTTCAAAGGGGTATACGTAAAGTATGTAGAATTCATCAAGGGGAATCATCATTATTTTTGCTATACTTTGATGTATTTACATTCTCTTCCATTTGAGACTAATAATAATTTATCGATTAAAATATTATCGTATATAAATAAAAGTTAGGAAATTCAGACGAATTTTGTTGAATATTTTTTAAAATAATTTCAAAGTAATCAAAGAGATTCGTGAATGACTTTTTGTCGGCTATTAGGTATGAATAATTACGTTTTGTTTTTGGAATATATCACATGTATGTGTTTTTATGTTACTTATCTTTAAAGCAGACATTTCATAATTGTATGATAATACATTATTAAATATTATTTAAATCACTTATCCCCGACATTTTCACGCTTATGAAAATTGTATATGTAAGTCTAAATAGAGGGATTTGGTGAAGTGTATATATAGATCCTAATTATGTAGATATAAAAGAGAGCCTATCTATTTGTACATAACACGAGTAAATGAGATGAGACTTATACTCAGGTTTAAGTAGATAGAAAAATTCTATATCCTGACTTTCTCTTTGTGTGCGCGTGCGTGCGTATGTATGCGAAGAGAAACATTTGTATGAAAGGGCGACGCTGAAATACGAACGATTCGTTCATATTTTGTATAGATATTAAACAGATACCTCTTCCGTTTATCCGACTATATTTGATGGTGCATAGCTAATTATATTATTGAGACTGCTTGTTGTAAGCGTTGTGCGTATGGGCAATCGAGATTGATGGTCGCATTCAGCAGAATATTTATTTTGCAATTGTTGGAAGTTTCCTTCTCTAAAACAGAACTATTCCTAGAGTTCAAAGTATAATTCAAATTCGACGCAAAGTGTTTACCAAGTGTTGACTTCTGCTGAACGCGATCATTGATTAAAGATTTCATCTTCGCGTTATGTATATAAAGTTTAAATAAAGTATTTTAGCTATAACGTATCAACATCGAAATAAAAAAAACAATCCTTATGAAACAACTGTAGTCGGATAAAGAATGATATAAGAAGTACAGCTTCGATCATAATAAATTGTATAATATTTGACACGCGTGTTACACTATACGCACTATTTTCTCAATTGAACAAAAAATTAACTCTTTACAACTTATTTATTATGATGTACTCCGACATGGATATTTGTCGAACAATTGTGCGAAATAAATTATGCGATATTTTCAATTAAAAACTTGTGCAATGATTTCTGCAACTCTATACCTTTTTCCCCGCTGATATCCCAGAAAATAATTTAATTGATTAACAATATTGAGATAAAACTTTATGCGAATTATGCACTCGGTAATTATATAATGATTACTTTAATAACTCTTATTTGTTTCCAAACATCATATAACAACTGTCGTTGAGTCAGAGCTAATCAAAGCTATTAGATTAAAATATGAGATGTTTTTTGTGATGTTTTTTGTTTGATTATTCGATATTTTCTAATTATATTTTTCTCGCATAATCCTGCGAGAAAACGTTTGTTCGCACGTTAATTATATTTCTGCAATACCTGTTTTAATTCAAGTACATTTGTATGAGAGAAAAAAAGAGCTGTGTTTTAAGATATTTTTGTTAATAACATGACGGAAAAATATAAACGACCAAGCTTAACTTGAAAAGTTGTAGCCGTGATTTTGAAAAAAATGAGATAAACAATGAGAACATTTTTTGAAAATAACCACCTGAACTGTTCACAAATATAGAAAGTCTTGAAAAATTAGTATTGCTTAAGATTAGAAGTAAATTATTATATAATTATTGCGAAACCTTGAAGAAATATCGACTTCAATAAATTAATTTTATTACATAACAATTCATTCATATTGATACTAATCTTCAATCGTCGAGATAATATTGCTTCCACGATGGAGTTATGGATATAAATATAAATAAAATGAAGAATAATTCGCCAATCACGAGACAAGTCTCTTAAGTAACTCGAAGACTAAAAGTTGATGATAAATCATGTGATAAATCTAAAATTTTCAAAAATATTTTTCCGTTCCATTCTGTATCGAACGAAAATAATTTTATGATTTCTGGAAATGTTATTTAAAAAAGGAAAACTATCCAGTTAGCATTTTTAATATATAAATGCTTCTATAATTTAAAATCTATTTAAATTATATAAGCGTTTTTCTTTTTAAGAAGTTATTATGGTAATGACTTGGAAACCCTTGCGTTTGTAAAATCTCCGTCAGCGAGAAAAGAAAAACGATAATGCGTCATTAATGACGTGTTCCCCACTGATGGGTGCGAAGGTGAAGGTGCTAGCTAACGATTAAGTAGAATTCACAGAATAAATCGGTACCATCCCCACCATGCCGTTCGTCTCTTCGTACGTATATAAAGTCAAGTCACACGAGTGATATCTGTACAATTATATACGTCAGATTGCGAATAACACGTGTTAGGTGAGCATTTATATATCCCATGTCAATTGGCGCGATTTCTTCGTCGGGACATCGCTTTGAAAAATGAATGTGATTACGCAGTAAATTAACTATTGCGCTTTCCGATCCGAATACGGTTCAGTTTTTTCATCGCTGAATGTGAATCAGTGTGTTCCGATTGAAAAAGGATCGAAAAAGATCTAAAATATAATTGCATCGCGATTATTAATACTTGTGGAAGTTAATTTAATTATTGTGACGTTCTTCTAAGAGGCTATATTTGAAAAGATTATACGTGTCTCTAAGTTTATTCCTCGCTGCATTATAATCATCTCATCAATATGCAAATGTTTCTGCATTTACGACATGCCTCATCCGATATTTTTCATCATTGTTCGTGGTAAAATTTTTCATGCAATTTGCAGAATTTTTTGTGTAAATTTCATTTTTTATATATGAATTCTGAAATATTCTAAGATCTCTAAGATTTGTCACTCTTTAATTTCTGATGAAATCTTATAAAATTTGGAAAAGTTTATAGTATTTTTCTAGAAATTATAGATTGCAAAATCTTAGAAATAGAATAGAAAATCTTAGAATATTTCAGAATTTACATGTATGAAAAATTCTAAGAAGAGATACAGACATTTTTAGTATTTTTGAAAAGTGTCCCAATTTGTATAAAAATTCTGAGAAAAATTTTCACCGGATTATATTTTGCAAATGTCGATGTCGTTTTGACTTCTGAAGAAGCGTCGAATTAAATTCGCAAATCTCGTCCAGCTAGAAATAATTGGTCGATCGATGTTGAATCAGCATTCATCCGATGTTGATCACCTATCATTCCGACTGGGCGGTGCGTTATTAGATTCTTTCCAGCAACACACACATATAGAAGTAATACATAAAAAAGTTTCGACTATAAGTCGACACTGTATATTACTGTGTCACACAATATGACTGTGTTCTGTTGCTGGAAGAGCAAATGCTTATTGATATTCTTCCGAGAAACGCGCAGATTTTAATCTTTTATAAATACCATAATATAAAATCGTATAACCAGTGAGAACCACCGCACACATTTTTCATAACAGTAAGTAAAACGTACCAGAAGAATTGGCCAATGGCAGTCAAGAACTATCAAACGTTTTCGGCTCTGATTGGTTAATTTTTACGGTACACGTCTTACGGTTACAATTACGGAAAATGTGCGTGTAATGACGCTGGTAGATTCGCTTACGCTATTATGTATCTTTCAAAATTACTCGCGATACAACTTGCAGGTTTCCCAAACTTGAACTTCGTTTGCTTGCATTTAATTAGATGTATACGTGTTGCAGCAATGAAACTCGCAGTGTTATGCTTGTTGGCCATTATTTCTGTTGTTTACGCGGAGGAATACACTAATAAATTTGACAACATAGATATAGATGCAGTTCTTAAGAATGAACGACTGTTGAAGCGATATATCGATTGTTTGCTAGATAAACCCGACGTTAGATGCCCTCCTGAAGCTATTGAATTGAAGAGTGAGTATTGCGCATGATTTCTATACTCGTAATTATAAATGCAGCCCGGATAAAAAAAACTTTAAACGAGTTGAATTGAATTTGATTGTTTATCTCAGTCTGTGTATGCGTAAAGCATAAATTCTAATGGCTGTGTTCAGCAGAGAAAATTAATCAGCGCTAAGTGATTCTTTAATATGATTGGTCTTGCCCTTAATTCCTCATTGGATCTAAATGTATAAACCAATCATATTCAAGAATTTTACAACAGTTACAAAGCTGCTTTCTTTGCTGAACACAGCCAATGTTAATTATTATAAAAATGAATTCAGAATTGATGACATATGACTGAGTTATTTTTAAATTCTTTGTGCTATCTGGATAATTATAAGTAATCTCATCATTATTTATTTTTATCAAAATGCCTGAAGAGTATATAAATATACTGCAAAAAAGATCATTTTCAGAAGTAGTTTTAAAAACATATCTCTTAGAGACAAAAACATCCTAGAACTTTGTAACTTCTTATGTAACATATAAAAAGAGTTTTATTTACAAAATATGGGTTTTTTTAACCGAGATTGAAAAAGTTTTTTCTCAACAAGTATTTATCGTTCGCTAAATTATACAACTCCTTGACTAATAAATATTCAATTTGTTACAAAGTACGCCTCTAATATGTTAACACCTTTATTTAACAGTTAATAGTACAATACGATTAGCTATTAAAGATATTAATATGATTAAAGATATTTTTCCTAAGTGCCCTGGTAAAACAAATTCTCATATGTCTCATATTTTTAAGAATTTGCCATATTTTTAATTTACAAAGATTTCTGAAAAAAATACTTCAAATGTTTCCAGATTTTTTAAACGTTTTCTTCAGAAATTATAGAATGCGAAATCTTAAAAGTCTTATATAAAATATTTGACATATGAAGAATTCTAGAAAAGATGTGTAAATTTTTTCTAATATTTCTAAAAAATATTCAAATTTATATAAAAAGATCTGAGAATTTTCTAAAAATTGTAAAATTACGAAAATTACAGAAATTCTGAAAAAATATAAAATTTATATAAAAACTTTGAAAAATTATATGAAGATTTCTAAGAAAAATTTTCATTAGATCAAGGTCCATTTTGACATTATCAAGATAATTAGTATCCGATTGCATTTAGCATCATTAAATAAATAATAATCATGTAATTGCAGAACACATAAACGAGGCGCTAGAAAATGAATGTGCAAAATGTACGGAACGTCAGAAAGAGATAGTAAGGAAGGTGATAAAATATCTAGTGCAAAATAAGAGAGATTGGTGGAATCTATTGAAGGCGAAATACGACCCGGAAGAGAAATACGCGAAGAAATATGAGGAAATGGCCAACAATGAAGGCGTCCAGATTTAATCAGGAATCGGCAAGGAGAAAAATTAATATACGATATAAAATTATTATGATGCAGTACTAATTGTTATCGTCCTTGTAGTTGAGACTTGACACAATAAAAATTTATACATATGCAAATAAAACATTGTTCGTAATATATATGCGTCATAATGTATGCCACGTATATTTATCTTTATGTTTATCTCCATTGTTCGATGATACATAGAACCATCTGATGTTTTCCTCATTGAATCCTATTCATGTGACTCTCTTTACATACAAAAAAATCTCAACGCGATATAAGATAGCTGTCACTGAACGGAAAATTTTTGCTTGTGATACGGCAAGAAGTTTTTTCCAATTAGCGCTGAGCATAATAAATACTAGTAATCAAAGTTTAAGGCAATGTTGCGATAAAGAATAATAAGAACATAAACTTTATTTTCCGAATTTGAGGATTATGTAAAAAATATTAGGATATTACAATAGAATCAATCTCTGAATATCAAACTTTTCCGTCGCATCAGTATATATATATATAACTGATGTTATATAAATGATTTTTTATTTTGATATTAATTGTATTGGTATTTTCTGATTTTATTTAATACCGAAATATAAATTGATTGATGTAAATACAATTAAGTATATTATATGTGATATACTATCATAGAGAGATAAATTTTCAATAATACCAGCTTTTGATAATACATTATTATTATTATTATATATTATTAAAAATTGATATTATCAAATAAATCAAGGTTTAAATTATATATTGTTATGTACATTTTATAAAAAAAAACATTACCTATACAGAGCACAGGAAATCGAACTAGTTAAAATTATAGATTTCAATTTTTAGAAATAATTGTAAATAATAATAAAATTCTAAATTTAAATTAGTTATTTCCCTCATGTAACTTCTTTTGTAAATTAAAAAAAATGCGTTATACAAATCTGATATATACTATATAATATTAGTGAATATAACAGGCCGCATTATATCCACATCGAGCGAAACATTCGCATATACCGGTTCCCTTTCTATTTTATTACAAGAGTGTCGAACTCGTCCGTGTCGTCGTCCGTTTCGCCAATATCCGCGCAAGCATAGCAAATTCTATCGACATCGTCCCAGCACTCGGGACAATGAACGAAGGGACATCCGGGTGTCGTGCATCTATGGAATTGCGGACCTTTCCTGGGTTCCACTTCGCCGCAGATGAGGCACTTGTGACGTGCCCAGGCGAAGATCACCAACCAACCGCAGAGTGCTGGCCAACGCAACCTGAGGGCGATCCACGGATCTATGTCGTACTCCAGCCGATGAGTTCTGACTAAAGTCTTGACCCTGGCTCGCATGAACCTTGATATCGAAAATGAGATGAAGATCGATACGCGAAGATTTGAGCATTTGTCGATATTCCAAGTTTTATTACTTGAAACTAGTTCGAGCATTATTCGTATAAAATTCGCTATTTTATCTTCATCAAAATAATTAGCGCTCGAGATTATGTTACATTATAGATGTAGAAAGAGAACTGAATCTCTTATTCATAGAAAAGATTCCCAGATAACACACATGCATGGAAAGACTAGCGGTTATATTGAAGTATTTTAAATTTTAAAATAGCTAGATTATACAGATGAAAATATTTATTTAATTGTACGTTGTATTGTAATCAAACTGATTGCTAGAATATTTTAATTTTTTATAGAGTATTGCTTGTCATGCTTGAACCTTACATAAGGTCTGTTTTTATTGCTGCATTCTCTGATGCACTCTGATGCACGCGGTGCAATAAGTTGAAGTGAAACAAACGTATATTCACTTTACTTCAACTTATTGCACCGTGTGCACCAGTTCAGAGAGTGCTGCAATAAAAAACAGACCTATAATTATTTTGATAGCCCAACAAAATTATTTTCAGACCTGCATCTGTCTAAATTTTTATATATTTCAGCAAAATTGTCTTTTCCGTTTCTCGAAATAGTCATAGAGAAAAAGCAGATACTGGCAGAATCTGCGAATTTAACCGCAAGATATTTAATTCCTTCTCTACCTGGCGTGACCGAGTCTGCGTCTCAGGCTCTCGTTGTAGAGATATAACACACGCCTCTTCTCACGTTTTCTGTAGAAGAATGAGCAGATCACGCGCCGCAGCCGTTGCGTGTAAGCGGCGGTGAACAACAACATCCAAATGGCGAGATAGATCGAATAGATCTTGAGGATCATGTAATTCGGTACTTTACTGGCTTTCGGTAGACACGCGCTGTTAGATACCACGGTCTTTACTCGCCTCTTCACGTTGAATCCGCGGATGACGCTACGTATCAGAGAGGCTATCATTCCAATACCGCGAACCTCCAAGGTCAAGTCGTGGTGACCCGCCTAGAAAAAAATTCCAGTTAAAGTTGAAAACAGATCGGAAAAAATAAATAATTAAGTTATATAACGCCTTAGGAAAAACCGCATTAGATCTAGCCATTTTCACATGCTAGTTTATTATTATTATTTAAAACTTTCCTGATTACGTGTTCGTCGTAGATTTCCTCCTTTTTTTTTTGTATTATACATTTAAATAAATCAATCTTTTATAAAGTTAGCTTTTTTAAAATTTGCAAATAAAAGAGGTCCAAAAATTTAAACTCGAACATATGCAGAGATGTTTCGAAAGAATCTTGGGCTTAAACTCAAATCTAACTAGAAATAACAAGAATTGTTGATCGAATTGCTTTCCAAATCTCAAACCTGGGTATATTCCATGTAGGAGTGTCTTCTGACTAAATCGAGTGCTTCAAAGAAGAGTCTGTCCATCAGTATAAACGTCGTTATGCTGATCAGCTCGAGAATCAACTTCACCGTTTGTCCTGTCAGATGCACCCGCTCGGCTTGGCCTGGCCGCAGGCTGTATGGATTCACGAATTTCAATCTCTCGATCTTCTTTAGGGGCAGCAGGGTCAAACTACCGCGAGCCTTCCGTCTTGCATCGATCTTCCGGAAGTACGAAGTAATATATACGTTGTCATGCTCGATGTCGTTCAAGTATTTCTCGTGATACGTCTGAGCATTTAAGATGATTCTCAAGAAAACGAAGGACAGACATCTGGATAATTGTATAAAATATATTTTGTTTTAATGATGAACCTTTAGGCCTTTCAGGCAAATTTTTTTTATGTATATGGAAAGTTTTACTGAAGTCTCGAAAAATTTAGTTATAAAAATAATTTTGTTGGATCATCAAGATAATTGCGTAAAAAAAGAATAATGATCAACGCTGCAAAAAAGGTTTTGACATTTTTGCAACTAGCTTGAACATTCTACTATTTTGAAAGTTGAGCATTATAAATAATTATATTGATACTCCGACATAACTATTTTGATAATCCAACAAAATTATTTTTAGATCTACATTTAACTAAATTTTTTATTACTTAAGCAAAAATTTTCTTTCTGTAAATAAACAAGAAGCATTGTCGAAAAAATGTTTGAAGGTATATTCTATTTTTTGAAGAGTAAATATGTGATTCCATTAAAAAAAACAAAAAGTTAAACTGTGCAAAATTTTTTCACATAATTTTCTTCCATTTTTACTCTAAGAAGAGCGACAATTATCCGAGTTCTTAAAATCATCTGTATTCCTGCTATTACCTTTTAATAATCATCATCACTGACTCAAAAACTTTTCTGCGTGCGTTGAATTCGTGCATTACAGCCTGGGCAGCATCTGTGGCGTCGTGAAGGTCGAGAATCACCGGCATTTCCTTTACTTTATACTGCAGTTTCGCGTCCTTGAGGCTTTTGCTGAAGGCGTCTCTGGCTCCTTCATGAAGAGGAGACAATATCTCGCGAAAACGTCGCGGAGGAATTGAATGTGTTCATTCCTAAATTTTTATCGATGCGAATGATATTCACTTTTTAAAGCAACGTAGCCTTCGCCAATACCGGGGTCTACCTTTCCTTCGGGATCACAGATGTTGGAACCACCGAGGGCCTGCACCAGATTGCATACGAAGTTAAGTTTCATCGGCCAACACAGCAGCCAGGCCGCAAAGACCGTCACTGTATCGTAACACTTGTCGTAAGCGTCAGCAAACATATCTCTGAAAATCCGCATTAGTTAAATTTCATTAAATTAATACTAATTATAAGACAAATTAAAAACGTAAAATTAGAGATGCAAAATTACTGTCAAATTCAATTTTACAATTACTTACGGTAAAATTACGGTAAAATGGTAATTTATTGGTAATTTTGGTAAAATTTGTTGTTTCTTATAGTTTTATGCACAAATAGACTGTATTTTCGTACTTATGTATTGTAAAAAATTATACAATCATTCAATATTCCTAATAGGAATCGCTGATAGATTAACAGGGCTATTGTCTAAATCTAAACGTACACTGAAAAAAAGATTGGCTGCTGCAGCAAATTAGATGGTAAAAAAATCTTTTTTTTCAGTGTACCCTATTGAAAAAAATTACGTCGCAAAGTTACATAACGAAATCATGTAATTAAAACATGTAAATCACGCAATAGATTGTTCCAAATCAGTACGTGATTTTTTTAAATTACGTAATTTGAAAAGTTACACAATGACATTTTTTTTTCTTCTATTTCTATTATTTAATTTTATAAGTTTATAAGGTATGAAAAATATAGTTTAAGACTACTGTACCTGTCACACTTTTTGTTTTCAAAATTTTAATAATTTATTTGAAGTTTCTTTAGTTACTACGTACCTACATATAGTACCATAGTTTCTTAATTATTATATCAATATGTAGTATCAAAATAAAAATTTAAATTAAATAAAGTGTTTTTAAATTTTTTAACTTAATGACTAAACACTCTCTTATATCAAATTATTTTTATAATTTTTTTAAATTACCATTTTATCAGCCTCCATAAATTACTGACTAATTTACAGTAAATTACTGAGTAAATTATCGTAAAATTTGGTCATTTTCATCTCTATGTAAAATTAAAAGAAAGAAATATTTAGAAAGTTAACAAATATCACAATTGTAAAGCCTAAAGCAGTGATATTTTTGTTGAATTATTACAAAGAATTGTATAGCTATAGCTATACAATAACATTAATAGCTGTTATATATAGCTATTAATTCTGTTTTTAAATAAAATTAATTTTCTTATATTCAAGATTATTTTTCTTGAAAATTAATGAAATTAAAGAATATTTTACATTTTTTATTTATCTTCTTACAAAGAATCTTGCCAATCGTATTATTGTATTGGTACTATTATATCATTCGCCGGATTTGCACGAGAATGAATTCCTAGAAATCTATTTACGAGAAAATGTATCTAAAAATTATTTGCCGACTACGAAGTTCTCCGATGTTATTTAGATGAAGTCAGTGTTAAATATCTTACCTGCATCGTTCAGCACCATGGCTAAGCTGCTCTTCGCAGCGCGCCTCAATCTTCCTCTTGTACTTCGCCTCGTAAACATCCGCCTCGGACTTCGCGTTCGCGATCTCTTTCTCATGTTTCTCCTCGATCTCGTCGCTTCTTCTCGTATCGTCCTGGAGCTCATCCAAATAGTCGTTCTCCTCTTTCAGTCTCCTCATCTCCTCTTCGCCCTCGATTTCCTCGACTATCGGGCTCATCAAATCTCTCACCGAGGATAAAGTATCCTTTAGCTCGTTCGCATCCGTTTTCATGGCGAGCACTGCCTACGTATTATTAGATACTTTGGTTATATCGGTTGACTTTTTCGCGCGAAGTTTCATCGCACAAACAACTAATCTTCTTCAAAATTTGCTTATTGCATTATTATTTCAATTAGCAGATACACCTGTTGAAACGGCTTAAACATGAGATCGAAGCGTGTCTCGGTGAGATTGTATGTCAACTGCATCGTGCAAGCGAAAGTTCTCACCACTTCTTTAGCGTTGTACGTTAAATTGAATATAGGTCCCGCTATTATATATCCCAGAACGAGAGCCCTCAAAACATTGCGTCCAGATCGGCCAAGAAAAGTTGGTATTGTCAAAAGACAGATACATCTCACCTATTCAGATCGACAGAACGACGATTTCAATGCCAAATATTCTTTAACTGATGATAAATTTTACTGAAGTATCTCAAAATTGACGTAGTAAGTATTGATCTGAAAATAATCTTGCTAGACCATCAAAAAATAATGTAGGAAATTTTATAAGACATTCAAGCATGATGAGTAATGTTACAAAAAGTTTTGACATTTTAGCAATCAAATTGATCGATAATTATTTTAATAGATACTTTGATGATCCAAACAAAATTATTTTGTTGGATTTAGAGCTATCTAAATTTTAGATACTTCAGCAAAATCGTTCTTTCTATGTAAAAGCAACTTATATTTATTAAACATTCTATATATTTCTCTCTAATGTTATGCTATAAGAATATATGTTTTAAAAATATATATTCTTTTTATATGTCTAACGCAGCTAACTGAATAAAAATGTCCTTGTTTCAAAGTTCATATATAAATAGCATACAAAATTATCATAACTACATTTTCTTATTATCATTGGAAATTGCTTTGAACTGCACATTTACTCGACAAATATTTGCAATCCTATATAAGAATCGGATTGTGCGGACAAGGTAACGTGCATGACACGAATATACATTAAAGCACATTACGATGCAATAGAATTCACAGAAATATGGCAAGTTTCAATTTGTAAAATATTTAGCAAGGCAAACACGTAGTTTCGATCCGGTTTTATCAAGAATAGCAATTAGATCAATATAGTAACGTAATCAAATGAATTCCTGGGGAAAAGAGTGGGTTGCTTTCCAGCAACGGAAAACAGTCATATATTGTGTGACATAGTAAGGCCGAAATCAGACTACGCATTGAAGATTGAGGTTGAAGATTGAAGATTGAAATTTGACCAATAAAGACAAAGAAATTTTAGCCCCTTTCGTTTCGATTGGTCAAATTTGAATTTTTCAATCTTCAATCTCAATTTTCAATGCTTAGTCTGATTCCGGCATAATACACAATGTCGACTTGTAGCTGAGACGTTGATTAGCTTTTTTATTTCACCGTTAAAATGAAATAAAGAAAAAGGTCTCTTACATCCAAATGTCTTCAACCTTGAAACCTCTTAAATTGGAGTTTCACTTCTAGAAAAATAAATGGTATTGAAACGCAAAAATTTGATATTTGTGAAATTATATAAAACGACAGTCGAAAACAGCATTTTAGATTTGTATGAGTTGACGACTTGTCACAATTGGAAAGTACGAAATCGTACACAGTGTCGCCTGCATGTATACGTTGCTGGAAAGGACCTAGTACCTAAGGAATACACTAAGTTAAGAGAAAGTTAAAATGACTTTATTTTAACGTCATGAATGTCAAAGTGATAATTTTTTTATTATAAAATTTGACATTTTATTGACGTTAAGAATAAAAAAAAAATCATTTTACTTTTTTGTTAACTTTTGTATGTTCCTTGAGTATCTTTCGCAGAGAGATATCAATGTCGATGCTTAATCAAGTACGTTAATAAAACAATACAAGAGTATAAAAGTAAGATAATATAAGAAGGTATAAAAGATAATAAGTTAAATTGAGTGAAGTAAGAAAAGAGATTACCTGTATCGATGAAGCGCATCCTATCGATAGCATCACGACAAGGATGGCTCCTAGAAAGATACTGGTATACGTGTCAAATTGTAGATCGACGATTATGCCCTCGTACAACACGACAGCTGCGACAAATCCGAAAAGAAATCCGATAAAGGCCCTCGCTTTCCGATGGGTGCCGATCGGATCGTAGCAGACGTGAAACAGGGTTGGACATTTTTTCAGATAATATTTCAGGAAATTCCTCCGCGTTCCCTCGATCAGACGACCGCAGAGATTAATCCGCTCCAAGCCGGGCATCGTTTCCTTCTTTTACGAAATATTAAAAGTCCACACTGATAAGCCACTTTGTCGCGGATTATGAAACGCGAAACTTTTGAGTTGATCTCTGAAATCAGACGAATGTGCATTGGTCGAATGGAATCGATTTTTTCCTGGGAGCGAGTTTTCTAAGAGGGTTTATACTGTTTATAGTTGGGACAAAAAGCATTTACATAATGCTTTTTATTAGCAACTGTATAGAAATCTAGCAGCTAAACAAATTTTCTAAATCATTAACTTTTTTTAGAAAATTAACAGCTAAAAAAGTATAATTTATAGAATTAAATTTGTTAACCAAAAGGAACACAAAAGTCAACAAAAAATAAAAAAGCTTTATTTTGATTCTTAATGTCAGTAAAGTTAAATTTTGTAATAAGAAAATCATCAGTTTGACTTTTTCTTGATGCGTTCCTTGAGCGTAAATAATTTTCTAGCGCGCTAAACGATTAATCTTTTAGCACACTAGTTGTTAGTAAGAAAACATTGCATAAACCTTGCTTAGTATAATACGATTTGTAAGATCTATAGACAATTAAAGACACAAATATTATATCTATTCAACATTTTTACTAAAATATTTATATTATTAAAATATTTGAAACAAAATTAAGACAAGATAAATTGCTGTTTAAAAATAAAGTTATTCAACAAAAAAATATTCAATGAAAAAATCTTAAAAACATGGAGAAATGTCATAAGTTTGCTAAATTAATTGTAAACTGTTTTGCTCATGTGACATCGTGATTATTATATATGCTTTTCAAAAGTATACTACCAAGATGACAATAGCAATTACACGAGGAGACTTCCAAGAATCAATTTTCTCCGCGACAGAGGACGATATTGCATTACTAGCAAGTTATGCAAGGCCGAAATGCCTCAAGCGGAGAATTTAAATTTACGAATTAAAGAAATTTTGCAGAGAACGGATAACGAGAGTCGTCAATGATACAATCGTCCCTTATGCGAGTCGTCTAAAAGTCGAGGTCACGCACACGTAATACATCATTTATACCATCTATGGAATACGAAAAAAGAATTGAAACATGAGAATTCTTTTCACGTATATGACGCATAAATTCCTCGCTATGCGTTTTATCCATTTATATATTTTTGTACTTGACACAAGTATAATGATTGCGATACCACATAGAATTAATCTCTCTCTCTTTTATATTTTTCATACATTTTTATCAAATATATAAAAAAATTTTATCTAATGAAATTATTACGTGTTGTTTCTTTCTTTCACTTCTTTTCTGACAGAAAAACGTTTTTATATTTTTTACAATATTGGATATAAAATCTTTAAATTTTTTATAGCAATTTTTATGAAAAAACCATGATATAAAAATTAAGTTCTTAATTATATGCAACAATAATTATGTATATAATAATGTGAGTATAAAATATCTAGTTATTCTTTTAGAGTAATAATAATAATTTATATAATATATATAATCTAAAAAATATGTTTAAAAAAAATATATAATTTTAGTAATGTTTATAATTTGACGATAAAAAATTGAGAGAGGGCTGAATTTAGAGAGAAATATCAATTGCATCGACGCAGGAAGTGACTTCATTGCGCGTATTTTTCTCGATAAATTATGGCAAGGACACAGGAGGACGATTTTGTGCGACTAACGAACCGTGTCCAAGTCCCTTATAAGACATACGAAGTAATGAGTTTCATGAGCAGTGAATCAGGAGCAACGCATCGATCTTATCCGATACGATGAGATACCTAGTCAACGTCTTTATCATCGTGTGTGTCCTTTCGTCCTCTTCCGTTCTTGCTGAAGAGATGTACACCACGAAATTCGACAATGTAGACGTGGACGCGATATTAAACAACGACAGGCTGTTAAACGGATACGTGGGTTGCCTGCTTGATAAGAATCCCTGCACCCCAGACGCAGCGGAACTCAAAAGTAAGTATGCGTAGGACGGCGAAGCATCTGTTCTCCATGTCCCTTTAATCCTTTAACCAAGAGGAACTCAAGTATATTCCGAGATTTGGAATTTTTTTTCATTCTCAGTAAAAGCAAAAAAATTTTTTTTAATTCTATACGCACCTTTTCTTCTAAATATAAATTTCTTAAAATGAGAATTTTTGACAATTTTTAATTTTAAGGAATTTAAATTTATAAGAGGGTGCATGAAAATTAAAAACAGTTCTTTTGGAAATTTTATATGCCTTGATATTTGAAAAATTTATTTCTCTCAAGACACACCTGTATAACGCATTCTGACTTTGTTATTACATTCTTGCTAATGAATGCAAACGAAGATAAAGTGTCATAATCTTAGAGAATCAGTGCAATCCACTTAATGCTACTTCGAAGCATTTAATTGACTAATCAAAAGAAAAAAATTTATTGACAGAATGAAAATGCTTCAAAGCATCAAGTGGACTGTATGCTCTAAGGCGGATTTTTTAAAATCTTTTTCAATTTGCAACATATTAAATAATAAGCTAAATTTGTTGAGATACCTCATTAAATGCTTCAAGCATGGGTCTTTTATCAGATACCGCAAATACGACATTCAAAAATAAAAGTTTCAATTTTCATTTTATTATATTAAAAGCGATTTTTTTATTACAATGACGATATCGTTTTGACTGAAACGAGAGTGAATAAAACGTAATTTTCACAATTTAAAAAATATTTTTACTTCGCTTCTTACTCGTTTATTTATTTCTAAATCTTTTCTCCTCATTTTCTCTTTTATAAAATTTTTACGGCACACTTCTCGCAAAAGATCCTTTGCGGCACATCAGTGTTTCGCGGTGGTACTGATTGAAAAACCTTGCTAAGATCTTACTAAGAAGATAATAATTATTATGATCTCAATGAAACCCCTTTAGAGAATCTGCCGGATGCGTTGGAGCACGATTGCGCCGGTTGTAGTGAGTCACAAAAGAACATGGCCGACAAGATCTCTCATCATCTAATCGACAATAAACCGGACGAGTGGAAATTATTGGAGGACAAATATGATCCTACCGGAGCATACCGACGGCGTTACCTGGAGAACAAATCCGGAGACGGCGGAGGCAGACTTGATTAAGATCATTTTCCACGCCGTAAGGATCATAATGACCAACTCTAATCCGACCTTGGCTCTATCCTCCGGACTTGATTGCTCGCCTTGTAATCCTTGTCACATACGCTGGTTTCATTTTACGTAACGATTACGTAATGAAAAACCCTGTTGCGTTCCATCATCTTTCGGAGCATGGAAGTTTCCATGTATATAGTTAAACGGGATATTAAAAAAAACAACAAAATATAAATGCTTGAGTTTTACGTTGCATTTTCACACTAACGCGCAATTCCTTTTCTTGCTATAAATTTGATTTAATCCTCTGAATCTTAAAAGAATACGTGCTTGCAATCGAATGTTTATAAACGTACACTTGATTTACTAGACATACTGACTTTTAAAGATAAATATTTCATTTAACGTAATGAGTTAATATTCTTGAATTAGCAACGAACGGTTTTACGAATCTTTTTGCTCGCGTTGTAAATCAGTAACTAATATGTGCAATAAGAATTGCTTGATCAGCAATGTATGTGTAAAAATATTTACCAGAATGTATTTTTATTTCAATATTGAAATACAAAGGCAAGGATTTATTCTAAATGTTCATAAAAATGATTTAATTAAAAATATCGTGGTGTTAGAGTATTGCAATTAGAATTTTGCAATTAGAATATTGCAATAATTTGCACAGAAAGAGAGAGAGAGAGAGAGAGAGAGAGAGAGGGAGGGGGAGAGAGAGACGGAATAATTTGCAAATAATCGTATATAATTGTGCACGTAAAAATATAGATAAAGTAATTTGGATACAATTATCTTCACATAACGAAGGAATGATTGCATCTAACTCCACAATGTAAAAATATTTACAACAATAAGTTGAAAAGAAAAGGAAAAAAAAAGAAAATATTATGAACTTCTATTTTTACAACAAGCTGATCGATAATTTTAACTTATTCTATTTTGTTTTTCTTGAAATATTTTCTTCAAAATTATACATTTTTCAATTACAAAATTTATACTGATTAATTATCCCCATCGTTATATTAAGAAAATATACATATTTTATTTCTGTAAATATACCTTATTATTTTAATAGCAGTTTGTTTCCTCCAGCATCAGTTCATTTATAAACCTTGTTAAAAATATCTTCGTTGTTATTGTATATTCTGTAACATATTATAATACCGAAATAAACACAATTGTATCCAATACTGATATTAATATTTTTTATAATATTTGAAATATACCAAATGTAAATGTATATATAAAAAATCTTGAAAATTACTTCTGTTTAAGGACTTCTCTTCTTTATCGATAGTAATATCTTACAGTAATATCAGAATAAACACAGTTGCGTATCTGATATTAATATTTTTTCCACTATTTAAAGTGTTCCGAGTGTAAATATATATAAATAATTAATCTCGAGATTTTTTTGTTTAGCGACTTCTCTTCTTTATCGATTATAGTTGTACGATGAGTACTCGTATCAGTCGGTAGATTCCGCTTTGTGATTGCATTTCAGTCGAGGAATTACTTTATCTTGAAGTTAAATAATTTAATTTTCTGGTGAATAAGAATTATTTATTTTTTTTTATTTTAATTATTTTTCTCATCTATACTTTTTCTTTATCGTTAAATATGTTAATTAGTCGCACATAATAGTGTAGTAATCCTCACGATTGTGATATAAATATTGCACTGTTAACTTCATTTTGATAATTTTTTTTAAAACTGATGACTATGGGCAGTAAATTTCAAATTAACTTGATCAAAATTAATTTAAGTTAATCAGTGATTAACTCGACTGGTAGAATCGCTTAAGACAAAATTTTTAATATTATATATTCGTTGTTCTCGATCTTTTTTCTATACTTTAAATATAATTCTAAACTAATTTATTAGTTTTATTCATATTAATTAATTAAAAATATAGCGTTAATTTTAAGTTAATCATGGTTTGGTCGAAGTCGTCCTATAGCTATCGTTGTAATTATGTGTAAAAAAAGTAAGAAAAGTGAGTGTCGAGTACGAAGCAGAGAGCGACGATGCTAACCATACAGTAATGCTTAATCGTTCGGAAAGACTTCCTCGTGCTACCAACAGAAACGCGACGAAGGGCGACCGAAAAATCTCCAGGGTGATCTTTTTTTGTAAGTTTCGGATTACCAAAAATATATCTCACAGCTCGACACTTAACGCGGGTGGCCATCACGCTAGAACAGCCCTTCGCGTGGTTCTCAGAAGCTTAGGGTCTATAATAAAAAAAAAGAAACAAAAAAAAAAGAAGAAAGGAAAAAGGAGAAGAGAGTGATCTTATAATAAACTGGGAAAAAAGGAAAATATCAAAGTTACGAGCAATCGTGCGAAGTAAAGGAAACGAACAGGGGATAGAGCGACTCGGAGTCGAGAGTCGTCCATGGAAAAAAGATCGACGTGCGATTATAAGAGAAATCTTCAGGATTCGAGAGAGGCGAGACGGACAATCGCCGCGCAATTTATCAAGCTTTCCTGAACGACGTACCAAACGACGTCTTCAAGGGGGACCGGATCGATCGGGGAGTGAGCGACTCGACAATTACCGGAAATTACACACCGATCCCCCTGTCGAGCGACGTCATCCTACGAAAGCTCGAAAACGATTTGGATCGAGAGAGGCGAGCGAGCCACTCTTGCGATTTGATCCACTATACGCGTGTACGTATACGGGGGGAGGAGAGAGAGAGAGAGAGAGAGAGAGAGAGAGAGGGAGGGAGGGAGAGGGAGAGAGAGAGAGCCTGCACACCTTCCCGCGCGGTAACAGGCAGGCTATCGTGGTTATTAAGGAAACAGACGAAGGAACGAAACGAAGGAACAAGCGCGTTGGGTGGTCTCGCCCCGCTGTTTATGGGGCACTGCATCTGCTGGCCCCGTATAACCCTCCGCGAGCGAGTGAGTGAGCGAGCAAGCGCGACCTGTGTGGTCCCACCTTACGTCCGACTTTGCATTCGATTCACTACTTGCTAATGGTAGCCGCATTAGCATTAGGTTGCCCCAGCCCTGTCTCGCTTATATGATATGCTGCGACGAACGAAACCTGCTGTTGTGCAATTTTTCGTCGCCGGCGACGAGTACCGAGGCCCAGGAGGCTTGCCAGCCGGACGGAAGGATGGACGGCCCGGCCGTCGCTTGCGCGATCTAGATCGAAATCGAGATCGGGATCGAGGTCGGATGGCGGTAGTCCTCGTGTTCGAGCGTGCCGCCTTCGCGCTTCCCACGTGCCGTCGCGTCTTGTGTTCGGCAAAAGTTTCTGGCCGAACGAGCACGCGCGCGTTACGACGAAGATTCTAATGACACTGGCGCGATCCGGAGAGGCGACTTCTTTTTTTAAATCGATGTAGTCATCAGTATTTTTTCCATTTGAAGAAAAGTTCTACACGGAAAAAAAAAGATTAGCTGCCACAGCTAAAAATTAGGCATGGCAGCTAAATTCAGTAGTATTATATGGACACCTAACGTCATATGCGAGGTCTAATTTCCATTAGCTGTGAGGCCTAAATATTATCGTTGTAACAGACGAGCATTTTGCTATTATGTCGACGTATTGATCATTGCAGCAAACGTTTTCTGTGTAACAGACAATTTGGTAGCAAGTACAGTTTCAGTAAAACCATATTTAACTGTGGTAGAGACAATTTTCTTTTACACGGACATATCCGATAACTGTGACAATTAACCTCATATTGCTAAATAAATCGATCTGTAACATGCATATTTTGCTATTACGTCCTTATATTAGCTACTGCAGCAAATCCTTTGTATGTATTAGCAAATTTCATAGCTATAATAACTATAAATGCAATTTCAGCTAATCAGAATTAGCTGTAGCTAGAAACATTTTTTTTCCGTGTACGATTTATCATTTATAGAAAAGCGTCAAACGTCAAATAGTATCGTCAATACTTCATTATTATACGAATCACTCGCGATCTCTTCCATTTATTTGAAAGTAAACCTGATTTATACAGAATAGATAATTTTAGACTCTATAAATTCTTTTAAAGTAATTTTTCTTTTCTTCCACTTTATTATTATTGTAATTTCATTATTATTTACTTGCTTTTTTATTTTTATTTTTCTTTATTTTCTCTTTATTATTTTTTTTGTATTTTCTCTGCGTCTCCATTTTTTGTTATATTATTCACCTTTTGTTTTATCTTCTTTATATTATTATTTTTCTTTGTTGTATTCTTATCACATTTCTTGCTTGTACATCATTCTTATAGGGTTTGCCCTAGAATATTAATAAACACTGCCTCTCTCTCTCTCTCCCTCTCTCTCTCCCAATATCTTCATTCATTCGAAGAATGCAAACGAGCGTTTTAAGCGGGGTTTCGCGTCGCGTGTGTAGGTACGTCGTTTAAAGCCGTGTTGGTGGATGCGTGCGGTGCAGCGGTGTGGTGAACGAGGGCCGATATGACCGTGTTAGCGATTGGTCACGGGTGTGGGTGCGCCATATGTGCGACCGTTTCAAGCAGGCTACCTGTCTTTAGGGTCGTAACGCCGGATCGGCTTTTGACGAGCGATAATGATTTCGAGAATCGAGCACCCTCGTTATGCGAACAGAGGCGCGTCGGGATTCATAACGCACGCACGCAGACGAATACGTGTCTGAAGTAGACGAAGTGTACAAATGTTGGCATATTTCTCTCTACCTGTTTATCAATATAAACAATGTTTTCTTCAAATGCTACAAATAGAGTTCAAATATAGACATTTTTATCACACAGGGTAAACAAATAATAATTTATTTATTTACTTATTGCAAAAAAAATTTGATCACAAAACTTGAAAATCTTGTTGATTCAACCAATTTGTCTATTGGAAAATAAACGAATTAAAATTCTTCTAAAAATTATGAAATAGATATACGTGATTAATTCTTTTCTATATTAAATATTAGATTTTTTAATAATAATACTAAATTTATATATATTTAATTAGGTCAGTATAACTTTTTAATAAAAAAAGAAAATGTTCTAGTGAATATAAAACTA